ATTCGAACTCTTGTTACAAACAAAACACACATCAATAATTTATTTTTTTATTGCAATTTTTTTAATAAATTAATACAACATTGAATTTCCTTGCCTCTCAATGTTTGTGAAAGAATAACGTACACTTCAGTTTTTCCCATAACATATATGACCTAAAGTGATTTAAAATCCTGTAATAAGGTTACAAAACTGTTTCAGAAATCAGAACAATTGCTTCACTCCTTGGGCTTGTTCCTCATCATTTTACGCTTGTTAGCATCCAAGTATCTCTTTCTTAACCGTATGGATTTTGGCGTAACCTGCAAAATAATTGCCAAAAAAAATACCACTTAACACACCCAAAACAAAATTTATTAGAAATATGTTGTGAACAAGTCTAGAAGCCAATCACAGCAGTAATTTTCTCAATAGTGTGGAAAATGCAAATGCTTTATTCTGAAATAGCAAGTCAATTAATTTGGAATGTATTGCTACAAATATGTAGGGAATTTGTTGGAACATTTGTCGCATCTGGAATGACTGAATGTTGCTTACCTCGATGAGTTCATCAGAAGCAACGTATCCAATTGCTTCTTCAAGAGTCATCTGTAGACGAAGCATTCAAATGTCACCACCCATACATCAAATGTAAAAATGAAATAAGTTTCTACTTTTCACTTAATCGCCTAAAAAGGTTGGCTACTGCATTTTATTTTATCCTATCATGGCAAGTATGTACTAGACTGAACTTCATCAGAAGGAACTTAACAGTCCTGAAAAATGAATCAAAACATGTATAGGTGCCAGCCATTTTGGTAACGTTTAGTTTACTGGTTTTTGTTGACAAAAAATGTTAAACATGTTTATATTTATATTTGATAAAAATGAAAACAAAAAACATGTTTGATCCACGGGTGTTTTAAAAAGTTGTTTTGAAAACAAGTGTGAAAGGTGGCCGGTGGAAGGTGGTGGCCAAAGATGGTTGTCGACAGTCAAAAATGGTAGCTAGAGGTGGTTGTCGATTGCTGGAAGTGATGACTGGGGGTGGTGGTGGCCGCTGAATGTGATTTCAAACAAAAGGTGGTGGCCAGAGGAAGTGACCAGGGACGGTGGCTGATAGTGATGATGAGCGGTGCGAGGTGACCAGAGGGAGTGGGAAGAAGGAAATAATTAAAATACATAAATAAATAAACAAGTGAAAATAACTTTTGTGTGTACACAAATTTAGTCTGTTTTGCTAACAGATTTAGATACCAAACCAGTTTTAGTTCACATTTTTCAATTTTTTTGTAAATATAAACAAAATTGTATCCATATTTCAACAAATGGTGGAAATTTTGTTCAAGAAAGCAAATGAGAGAATCTAGTAAATTATTTGGCTCTGACAATTTCCTTGCATGGACCATCTGATGATAGGTCCTGCACCTCTACATTTGTATATCATGTTAGTACACGATACGAAAGACACGTACTATCTATGTACTGACAATGTAATGAGAGAGATTGGAGGAGAACATAGTAACTGCAGAAGTAGAATCAGGATGTAAGAAGCTAAAGGTTGAAGAATACATACAAGGCGAGGAGGAGATAGCTTCACATTCTCATCCTTGCCAGCAGCCCGTACATTGGTAAGTTCCTTATTTCGAACTGGGTTCACCTGTGACAGGCCAATCACTGCACGGTCAGCCACCTTAAAATCTTTGCATAACGTGAGGCAAAATAAAGCAACTGCTTACATCAAGATCGGTATCTCGTGAATGTTCACCTATGATCATGCCATCATATGTCTGTACGCAACAAAAAACCAGTTAGCACAACCAAAAAAAAAAATGAAAAATACAATTAAAAGAAGTCATTGCTTCATTTGTTTAGACATAGAACTAGTTTATACTTCTTAGAGGAAGCTATTTTAGTAAATTGACGTCTGTAGAGGACAAGCAGTAAGCAGAAGAACAGGTCATTTTGTATACCAACCTCCATCCCAGGGTTCACAAAGAGAGTTCCACGAGCTTCTAAACTCATGAGTGCATGAGCCGTGATTGTTCCATGGCCCATGGACACCTGCTCAATCAATCAAAAGTAACGAAGTTAGGTCCATTACAAATTCAACAACCCATGTCAATCCAAGCTCTCTTTCAGTTAAATATAACAGAACCTTATGAGTTTGTTATGAATATATTTTTCAAGGTTGTCAGAAACACAATGCCTACAATCGATGTTTGCAAATAAGCATATAAAACAAATGATAGAACAAAAAATAACTGCAAAATTGTGGAACTTTGTAATACAGGTATGCGAACTCAATACCGTACAAGTTTTGATACCTATTATTCAAAGTGAGTTAGCATGTAAATGGATGGAGTGGTGAGGAGAATCAGTAGCCATATGATACATTATACAAGAGGACTCCTCAATACCTCCCGTTAGATTTGAACATTATTATTATTATTATTATTATTATTATTATTTTATAAGTGAAAGTCAGTTGTTAGATTAGCACCTTGGGAGAGTTGAGCACCCAACTTCTCCCTTGCAAGCACCTAAGTGCTGCCTCCATGCCACTAGACCACAAGGCCATCAGGAGATTTGAACAATGAACATTATTTTGCTTCCTTTCTAATGAAAACAAGACAGCTTTTTTCAGTCATGAATCAACAAGGTGGAGAATGGAAATTAGTCAAAAGAACAGCTACGTTGCGAGAAGTGAGTCAAAATTAACATGAAGACAGCAAGGCTACTTCACTGTCCCTTACTAGAGAACAATCAGTTCTTTCTTTTGCCAAAATATCAACTAGAAGATTTAGCATGTCTGTACGTTACTGGCTTGATACCAGTAGTCGTTTGTATACACATGTAACCATTAATGAAAATAAATTTGTGATAATTAGAATTCAGCTTGCAGTGAATTCTTAGACATCGCGTAGCTGTTAAAAGTAAGTTGGGACAAATCCACTGATATTGTTGACTTCAAAATTGGTTTGGGTTTCCCTCCATGAAGCTCTAAGAAGCATGAACACTTTTAGGGTGTTGTGCCTCATCAGACACTCAATGACACATGTCGTGCACACACATCCAAATGTGTCCTATTATTTTCTTAATGTTTTATTTAAAACCACACATGCTTCATACTCATTTGTCTATCGTTTACACACAAATGAAACACATCGCAAATTTTAATCCCTCCATTTAAAAATTTTTAATTATAGGAATTTTAAAGCCCGACACTTTCAATTTGTTTATGACTAGAGCTTTCTCATAGATATTAGAACTTTTTGTTCGCACTTTTCTTCCAATATGAAGAATGTCAAAAATGAATTTCTGAACTATTTTGATATAATACATAACTGTATTTGTAAAGTAAAAAATAGGCAGTTAAACTCTTACTATTTTCATGTATACATATAAATATATATATTCAGTGACTGCCGGAGCGTGTCCTTAATTTTTTATTTAAAAAAAAAAATTCTATGTCCCATGTTTGCATCCATGTGAATAAAAAGGATGACCGAAAAGTAGACAGTTCCCCCTCAATAACAATATATGCACTACGGTCATAACATCTAACTGAATAAATAAATAAATAATTAAAATTACAAAAAAAGAAGAAGAACAAGAAGAGTACTTCTAATTGAAAGCTGAAAGGTTAGAGGTAGCCATACCAGTACTCCTTTCCTGACATTTCCAAGAAGACCACGGTGTTTGGCATATGCTGCAAAAATACACAGAATAAAGAGCATTAGAGATGAGATACTATTGTCCCAAAAAAATATAAATAAATAAAAAGAAACAGTAATGAAAGGAATAAGTTTATTCTGAAAGTGGCAAATGCCTGTGATCTGTTCCAGGCAAATAGCAAGACAAAAACAGAGAAGTTTGACGAAATGGAAAATGGAGATTATACTTTATAATTGATTGTTGGAGTTTGAAAACCAAAGAATGAAAATATCAGTATTTCAACCACTGCATGGAAGAAAGGTAAAGGGTTCCCAGCCTGGCCCCCCTCACATGAGAGGTGGGGCCCACTCCCTCATGTGAGGGGCGGTACCTGGGCAGGTTCTGTAGCAAAATTGGCAGTATATAGCTGGATTGATGAGACCAAGTTCCATTCAAATGTCCAAGAGCACACAATTCAAAATTTGGACAAAATAAGTACTCTACCAAAATCATTTAAACTATATATATAACCAAAAACATTATTGTTCAATCAAATTACACGTATAAAGCTCTGTCAAGTTGATAATTCAACTCCAGAAGGCCTTATAGTTCAGGAGAAGTCAAGTTATTTAGTTTGAAAAGCTGGAATCATACGGCCATACAGAGTCAAAGAAAGGAACCTATATTGCCATTTTTTGGACTACAAAATTCCTGTTAAAAACAAAAAGAAGCTAACTCAAATGTATAACCCAATTACATCGCAATGAGTTAAGAGGACAGCAAAGAAAATAAAAACAAAGAAAGAGGCTAAGAATTTATTGCAGCATAAGCATACTCAGGAAAGCGCGGTGCATAAATCCAGTGCCACGTGTATCACTGCTAAACACACTTCTGTAACCAACAAGGCCCCTGAGATTACAGAACGGAAGAATATTATTTTCTGCTTGACATATATCCTTGTTACGCTGCAAATAAATTGGTATCAAGCGGAAAGGCCAAGCAAAATATATTTCAAAAAAGCAATGACTAGAATAATTTTATGTCACTTCAGTGATTTAAAATATTGAATTTTTTAACTTCTTGTACAATATATCTTGGATTCCTGTTTTCTCTAATTTGTAAAACTACATGAATCTATGAATGTTCATAACAAAAGCATAATTATTTAAGTATAAGATATTATCATCGATCACACTAGGGATTGGACCCATGTATCTTGTCATAGAAGCAAGTGTATTATTTATTACACCATGTGCTTATTTAAAATGTATCTTCAATATCTAATTGTTCAGACATATTTCTATGTATTTTAGAAATACTAACCAAATCTTTAGAAAGAATTTATCTTAGGAAAGGCAATCTACATTTATTTGGTCCTCTCTTCTCAAAATATATACATTTTCCTCCAAATCATTCTGAAGTCTAACACACAAACTTTGTTGAGGCACATCAATGCCCCATAACACAAGCAAATCTTATTAACACACACACCGCATAACTATAATTATGTATGTAACAAAATCTTTTGAGAACAATGAAAAAAATAAAAAATAAAATAAAAACTTTCCCAAAAAAGAAGGAACCAGTTTCTTGAAATCAACAACAGCATGGTGCTAAACAGCAATGTAGACTGCACGAAAAATCAGAAGTAAGAAGGATAAAGCATGTACAAACCTGGATGGACAAGTCAAACACATTCTAGTTCTGCCCATATTTCCTGGGACAGGACCCATGTCAGTAACTTCAGCTCGCCTGTGAGATAAGGCTTCCATGATTAACCCCACATGTTCATCATTTACCTGAAGTGACAAGATAATGGCTGAAGGTTCCGAACCCAAAAAGGCAGAAAGCCAGCACGTACCATAAACATTAAATTCTTACCTCAATAGTCACTTCTTCAATTGGCTCCATCTTTCCACCATTCTCGGTTTTATACCTGATTCAGTACAAGGAAAATTTATCAAGCAGTGAAAGTTCACAAAATCCCCAGAAAAGTAGTAGCAGACTCAACATACCCTGAATATGTAAAATGAGATTGACAACAAAATTCCAACAATACAGTGCACCGAGAGGAAGCAGAATATGTATTTTCTAAATATAGAGAGATGCCGCTTGGCACTCCCGGCAATTTCAGTTTACACCATTCCAATTATATCAAACCTTCACTTTCAACACAAACAAGAGAGAGAGAGAGCGCAAATATGAGCATTCGAGTTTCACTTTTAACACAAAGAACATTACTAAAAAAGCATGACTGTGAGCATCTGAGTCATAACTATAAAACAATTTGGTAGTCAGAAAACTAAAAGATCACATATACATGTTACTTGGATAATATCAGACATCATAGGAATTATAACAAATTCTCAAGGTTGTTAAATTGTTAAGTTTTACAAAGATATTTAAGATAGACAATGGCAAGTTGGAAAAAAATTAGTCCTGATGATTTCCAAAGAATCAAGCATAAGATGGTACGCACAGGAAGAGCAAATACGATTGACATTCTGGCAATGCAATGTATAAAGTACCCAAAAGACACAAGGCAACAACCAGTTGGGAAGGATGGCCATAGACTTTATGGTGTTTTTTTTTGTTTTTTTTTTGTTTTGGTGCTTCATATGGATTAACAAAGAGAATTTTGCTCTTATGACTTATTGTATAGATTTACTTTTTATGATGGATGGTTGTATTAAGATTTACTTTTTTCAAGCAAAAGAGACAAATTAAGAGAAATAATATAAACATTACAGAAACAAAGTATATTTTTAATATTACAACCAGTGATTTTTAAGGACTTCATGGCTTGTCTAGTGATCAAATATACGGAGAATAGTTTACCAAGGTAATCTTTTTCTTTTTAAGTAAAATATTGTTAAAAAAGAGGCACCAAAGGGTGCAAAACTCATATACAAAAGAAGACCTGTACCAAACAACAAAAATCTATTCAAATGCCTCTACAAAATCTAAATATTGGTTCAAGAACGTGTTAACCACCCCCAGGAACGACTACGCAAAAATTACCCAAAACTAAAAAATAAAAATAAAAATCTTTTAATTTGAAAATGTCTCCCTCCTCTGCCTACCCACACAGCCCCACACCACTCTCAAGGGAATAGAACCCCCTTATGGCCCAAAAGCACCTCATAATAGGACTTCACACTGAAAAGGCCTAATTAGTTCAAAGACCATTGGAGTACATCACCCCCACTTGCAATACAGGTGGCATATAAACCCAAGAAAGTCAAACAACTCCCTCAATTCCCAATCATTATGTTCCCTCAAATTGAAAATTAAATTTACATATATAAAAAATAAAAAAATAAAAAATGAAAACTTGCAAAGAACAAGCTTCTTTTATAAAACTCAAAATTATATATGGTAAGAAACATTTCAAAGCAATCAAAGTTTATGCTTCTTTCTTCATTCATAATTGTTAGAAAATTATAGAAAGATACTAAAACGAAGATACTAACTTCATAATCATCAATACTTTCTAACCAAAAGCCACTACCATGTAGCATATAAGCATGCTAATATCAAAGAATGTAATAATATCATTATGTTGCAAATGAAAAGTGATTCACATGTATTGGGTCAAGTTGGATGGGATTATTTGTGGCCTCAAACCATCCAACCTGACCTAGAGGTTGCAAATTTTATAACCCATGTAGGATTTAAAAGCAGTCCAAGCTGGCTTACTGACCAGGTAGAGTCAGATTCAACCTCTAAAGATGCAATCATAGCAATCCCAACTCCAAGTGAGCAAGTCTAGAACGAGAAACCACTAGCAGCCAAGTTACAAATTTCTTTGAGGTGCACTGTTTGCGGCTACAATTCAGTTGTAAAGTTAGCATTTGTCCAAGTGCGTGCGCACGCACACATTTTTATATGGTACTTTTGTGTTAAAGATTCAGCAATTACTAATCACTAGAAGATCAAACTTTACACAACCATGACATGATGATAGTGAAGAACAAACTTAAAAGCATGCACAGTTCTGTTCACAATGCTGGTATGCTGTAACACAAAACTAGCCATGATGGTGACTTTTTAAAGTTTAAACTCCAACTTTTTAAAGTTGGAGTTTGACAAAGTTCCATGTTTTAGGAAAAGCAAATGTCATTAATTAGCATAAAGATAAAGCATCAGAGCTCCAATTGAAATAGCAGACTGATTATCTTCCGTGTTTGGATCCTCAATTGATAATGTGTTTATAAGCCTATGCTGGCAGTGTGCAACCCCAATACAATGCTAAATAAATAAAAAGACATGAATATAACTCACATGACTTTAGGTGGTGAGACAGATAACTCAAATCCTTCACGCCGCATATTCTCGATTAAAATACCTGATTAATCTCACCAAATTACATTTAGCATATAATACAACTGAGTTTGATGCTGAAAAGAGGCAGATAAACAAGAGGAAACTGTCATTAAAGACAAAAAATACTTTCTTTTAGATACTAGAACACATGGATAATAGGATAAGGTAAAAAAAAACTAACCTAACTGAAGCTCTCCTCTACCCTGAACTTCATATGACTCTGACAAACCCGGGATCACATTTATGGCAAGATTTGTTTCTGCTTCAGCCATTAGTCGATCACCAATTCTTCCACCAGTCAACTATGACAAATAAATCATAAAATCACATCACCTCATATAGTGCGGACAACAACAATGGGGGATTAGAAACTTAGAAGCATGAAGAGGAAGCAAAAGTATAATTGTGTTCAAATGTAAAGCAGAAGTCTAAACAAATTAACGCAAGCGCGTCTGGGTGTGTTTTTTGCTCTTGGTCATGTTACAACACCAGTACAATAGTAGTGAAAACTATTGGACAGGAGTTTGGAATGCGAAGAACTGGGTGTGCGACCAAGAGTAAAACTGTGTTCAAATGTGAAAGCAGAAGTCTAAACAAATTAATGCAAGTGTGTCTGGGAGTGTTTTTTGCTCTTGATCATGTTACAACACCAGTACAATATTAGTGAAAACTATTGGACAGGAGCTTGGAATGCGAAGGTGTGCAACCAAGGGTAAAACAGGTCAGGTTACAAGATAAATCTCACCCTATGAAGTTTAGGCTGAAGTATGAGGTATATATTTGAACAAACTACACAAACACGAAATAAAAGTACAAGTTCATAAAAATAAAATTTTAAAAAGTACACTTAGTTTAGTCCCACATTGGATGGGGGTCTAGGAGGGGGTAGATTACGGACCTAGCCTTTGCTATAATTTGTACAAACTGATTACCCTCAAGTTCAAACCCACAACCTCAAGGTGACTTTTAAACACTGAACTAGTGGCCCCTTGTAAACATATCAATAATCTACTTAACAAATGTGAGTATAGTTGACTAAAGTTTGCAAGAATAACAAAACAATAACTCTTTTTGAGATTTTCAGAAATTAGATAAAGCGTACTGTGTACTATTATTGAATAATAGACTTTATTCTTTTAACAGCTTGGACTTGTCTAGAAACGAAATTGTGATAGTGTTACAAGAGAAGCAAAAACATTCTTCCACATAAAAAATCCCAACTAGTAAATAAAAGAGATTAGCAAAAATTAAAGAGGAGACACTATTTATTACTTTCAAACGCTTTGGAAATAGAAATAAATTGGTGCTAACTTTGAAGCTATTTCTTCAGTCAGTTCTCATGCCAGAAGCAAATACCCAGATAACAAAGCTCAAGTAAACACGAAAAGTAGATATCATCAAGGACACAATACATGGTTTGGTAAAGCTAGACTGGTAGGAAAATTACCTGTATGTATATTTTACAATAATGAAATATGATCTAACAGTGACGCCAAGCAAACTCAAAATTCATTTGAAAATGAAAACAAAGCAAAATTACTGATGGTCGGGTCTCTCAATATTCTGTTGAAAATGAAACCCATAATTTTCTTATCTAGTTGAATAACTTTTTAGGAAGATGTATCTAATATTGATTTTAAAATTTTAAGCCAAAAAAAAGCTAAGTTCCAAGAGAAATCTAATGAAAGTTCAACTTCAACACAATCAAAAGATTGGGGATTCCTTTCCCCCACAGCAAAACACTAACCACTGGGTGTCATGTTGTGTTATATATGTCTCGTATCCATATGTGTGCTTCTTAGTCAATTTCCACCAAGTAATCAATTAACTATAATTACTAGCTTCTAGGTCCAGTAGGTAATGGTTTCCAGATGCTCGAGGTTAAAGGAACAATAATGATATCCGCTTCACAAGAGGTAAGTAAAACAATGCCATCTATCTTGAATCTAACATCAAAAGACGATAGCGGGAAATGGACAAAAAATAATGACACGTTTCTTGAGTTCTGAGCACAAGATCTAACTCAATAAAGCTTTACTTTTAAACCCCCATATCTTAGTTAGATCATAACTCAAGCATGAGCATACAGAAATTTCGTCCAATGCTATAATCAAATGATTGATTTGCCCGATGCAGCTTAATAAAAACACTAAATACTGATTCCCAATTCCTCAATATTACGCAGCATCAACTTAACTCAATAAGCTTTTGTCCCAGTTACTTGGGGATTCAACCCTAAACGTCATATCTTCTCTTTGGAAAATGCATCATTAATTATGTCCATCTTGGACAAACAATTAACAAAATGAAAGATTAAAATGTAAAAGAAAAAAATTATCAAAGTCAACATTAAAGAAAATGAAGAAAAATAATCAGACTCACGTGAGTACCATCACGGCCAGCCAATGGAGAGTCATTGACACCAAAAGTCATTGAAATGGTTGGAGGATCCAGTTCAACAGTGGGAAGTGCAGTCATTACCTGGAAGATGTTATGAGTCAGTTAAAAATTAAAAAGAAAAACTACTATCAAACTACTATCTTCTTTTCGCAATGCTGGGGTGCTAGAGAAAATCTGGGAGCAACTTTTAAGAACTCATAACGTAGTTGTGGAGAAAAAGTAAAAGGAAACATAATTTTTAAAAAAACATAGGAAGTATATTTTATAACTAATGTACATTTGTATATCATTCAGCAGTTCAGGGATTAGAAGCGAGGTGGAAGCCAAAGGGACGTACAAATATTGCTCTTATGGCAAAGAAATGTCAACATATCTACAGATATTCATACATCTACACGTGCATAAACTAATTATCCACAAATTATCCTGAGAAAAGAGCTGTCAAAAAAAATCCAACAAAGTAATAGGCCTAATGCTCTCGCTCTTAGAGATTTTGCCATAAATCTTTAATAAATATCTGCAAACAGGCTGAGATAGCATAGTTGCATAACTTCCTTTACATACAATATGATAAGAACAACTAATGTTGCTCTTGTAACTCCAAGACCTGCACAGCACAAAATTCTTGTATTCCCCAACATGTACAAAGCTCAAAGCCTAAGAAAGAAACACATTAGAAGAATAGAAGCAAACCAGAACATGATGAACTTCTACGGGTTACTGAGCAATGACCTTTTTGTCATCGTTGTCAAAAAAAATGAACTTGATAGTGAAGTAAGTGATGCAGACGAGATTTTAGGAGATCTATATTTTTTTTATTCTATTATTTTTTAATTAATTAGGGCCGTTCTAACTAATAGTATAGATTTATTTAGTTTCCTGAATTGAGATGATTTAGTTTTCTATTTTATTAGTTTTCAGTTAGTTTCTTTTTTTATCAATTTCTTGTTCTCCAAGAATTAGTCTTAAGTAATTATAAATAATGTTGTAACCCTTAGAGCTGATCAGTTTTGAGAATATTACAATTTTGCATTTATACCCTTCTTTCCAACCTTGTGTATTCTTTGAGAATCAACCATATTGAACCTTTATTCTCGGAATTCTTTATGAATCAACTATTTTAAACAGAAATCTTGCTTCTAGCATTATTCATTCTTGAATCAACAGATGCTTTATATTTTTAGTTGGATATTATATTTTTAGCTTTTAGAAAATTGAATGCTATGTTTAAAGATTATTTGAAATGGTGAAGCTTGCTTATGATTTTTGGAATTCTATATATATTTGTTAAGTTGAAAAGTTTGTCTATTTTATAATTTTGCTTTTTTTCTACTATGGGTGCCTCACTTTGGTAAGGTGAGAGCCTTGCCTCACACCTCACGCCTCACGCCTCACGCTTAGGCTATAACAAACCTTATCGCCTCGGTGTACATAGAGCCTTTTAAAACACTAGTTGTACCCCTGCTTGTAGTGTCTTGTCAACAAATTTTCTTATTTAAAAACAAGAGATAGGCTTCCCTCCAGTCCACTAATTGGGCTGGAGGGTCTAGTCGTGGGCTTTGTGGGCCGATCTCAGGTCCACTTCTTCGGTGATCCAAATCTTGAAATTTTTAGTGTCTTCTAAGTAGATTATTCATGGGGAAAAAATCATATTGATTGGATATCGGTAGCCATATGTTTGGATCACATTTGTCTTTGAAAAACCAAAGGGGCAGTCTATTCTCAAAATTACATTTGTTCTGTCTATTTTGGTAAGACAAACATGATCCAAACATGTAGCTACCTGACATCCGAACAATCTAAATTTTTGCATGGAATCTACTCAAAAGACACTAAAAATTGAATGGCTTGGATCACCAAAGTGAATCCAGAATGGGCCCACAAAGCCCACAACTGCACCTCCAGTCCAACTCATCCTAAACGCAAAAAGAAATGAGTCCTGGAAACAAAACTAGGTTTCAACCGTAAATGCTACAGTAACTCCTCAGTCCAAGTCAAGCATTGGAACAAACCTACACATAGCAAATGTGAAATCAGAAAAGTCTTTTGAAGGAACTTTGACCTGTAATCTAGCAAAGCATGGGACATTTAGCACTGATCAGAAAACAGAACACAGACCACAGACCACTATCTAGTTCAAGTCTGTGCAGCTTTCAGGCATCTATTAATTGGGAGGACCACAATAGGGATGTCAACTTCTATACCTTACAACATTAAGTACCACACTAGAAGCTTAGTAAAATCTCAGTTCTTTAAAATGTGCGTTGCCCACATGCTGATGTACCAACAATTTTAACAGCAGAACCAAGAATCATTCTCATCCAAACATGCATGATATTCCCATGCACAAGCACAAAATGAAAGATGAATGCTCCAAAACCATATGACACTTACAAATGTATCATACAACATTATGTTTTTGATCAGTTTATGTCAACATATATCTGTAACTACAGGTAAGCAGTGAAAACAGTTTCAGAAATCACACACCACCAACTACCTTTTGAAATCCTTAAAGGGCTCTTAACTTTATGCATTGACTGCAGTCACTGCACTAATTACCCTAAAATGAGACGTGCAAGAATACATGCATGAGTAGAATAATTTGCATGATCTATAGCAACTCAAAGTATTTACAGCAGAACGTGGCCTCAAGATTGAGGAACCCGACAGACAATATAAACTTCAAATCACAAAAAGGGCACTAGCCTTTTCTTTTGACGAAAATACGACACTTATCAATTATATGTCTTTTATGTATATGTGGACAAGTATATACCATAGGCTTTGTTTAATGAAGTTTGCCTTGTGTTGTTGAAAGCCTGAATACTGTGACATGAGAAAAGAAGTGCTACAAACATGATAAGATGAAGATTATTGATGCCTTATGGTGGAAACACTACACATGAATTCACACACCTCCACATTTGCCACTGTGTGTCCTATTGATGGACTTGCCAACCCAGCCATCGATATTATATCCCCTGCTCCTGCACTATCAATTAGAACTATGCTTGTACCCTTCTTCTTCATCAATTTTGTAACCTACATAGAAGGAATTATTTGATTTACCCATAAAAATAAAAATAAAAAATAGTGCTAATAATGAAAGGTTATAATGATTGATGTGCATGATACCAAATCAAAAAATTTAAATAAAAAATATGAAATTTTACGTAAATTTGAGCTATTTCAAGACTCAGTAATTTAGCCCATTTTCATCTTTTTCATGCACAAAATTATGTACCAAATAAATCTTAAAAAGTTTAAAATCTGGCTCCAGGTTCAAATGGTTTGATGTTCTTGTACAAGTTAGAATTCTTTTTCTTTTCTTTTTTTTTTAACGAGTAATTATTCGTGCAATACTTAAAGTAGGTTTATAAATAATAGGTCCGGCTAATGTGCCAGGCCCTGTCATATCAATAACTTTAGGCTGTGAGACAGTGTTGTTGTGAATCCTTCACAATAACATTACCTTTAATTTTTTAGACAAAATAGGACTTCAATCCGAAGGGTTTTACACTCCTGCATGGACTCCTCAATGCTTACTAGCAATAGAGCCTGAAGTATACAGTAAGGGGACTGGAACTCAAAATGAATAAATCAAGAAATCTCAATGTTGAAACTCCTGAATCATGTAGTATGAAAGTGATTTACCAAGCCCACCCATAAAAAAGGCAGACACTAATTGAATAAAGCTCATACTCAGTGGGCCAATCTAGTGTCAGTATACTTGATAACCACCCATTACTGAAAACTAAGATATTAAGGCCTATTTGATTCCACTTCGATGATACATTCCGATGAAACCCTAGTTTTGGTAACCATATCTCAAATTATAGATCTCAGTGACCGCAAGATTGTGATCAATTTATTATGGGATATGTAGTTCAATGGTGACTTTTCAGGCACGAAATAGCAGCTTAGAGAAGGTCTTAACCTTAGAAGCTTACACAAAACTGACCATTGCTAGTTGGGAAAATGGTGGATTAGCATACTGTCCTTCATGTAGGGACATTTAACAGCAATGCGAAGTTCTTTTTAAAAAGCATTCTAGATATTAGAAACGAAAAGGGGTTGGCATCGCCTTGACCAGGACTTGAGACCTGCACCTCTCTGTTGGGGTTGGTGAGAGATAGCACTGAAGCTAATAGCTGGTAATGCATTATAAGATGTGTGTGCATATTTACATATGAGAAATGCTAGAGATCCCTAAATATGACTCCAAAATTCACCCCTAATTGTGTGGCATGGGGTTGGATCTTAGGTGGTTGGTTGATTTTTTAAAACAGTCAGTAACTGACATGGAGTTGTCCACATCATTGTATGTAAATTCAGGGGGTCATGTTTTAGGGATCTAAAGCCTTTTCCTTTACATATATGCCAATCAATAGTGTGCATCAAGAACTTTCTTCCCTTACATTTTGATGTTAGACCAATTCATTCTCATCTTTTTATCATGACAACTGACTTTAGAAAACCAAATTGCAAATTCAAATATTTGGTATTTCAGATAAAATTTAGAGATATGACAACAATTTGACTTTTATCTGGAGCAAGATTCTTGAAACTTAGTTGGAGGCATAGGAACTAGGAAGTCAAATACCATGGACGTATAATTATATTGAATACATTCAATGTCAATCAGGCAATAAGGGACAACCAACCTTTCCTTCTTCAATTTTCTCAGCCCCAGAATCTGTTTTTCGAAGTCCATGTACTCGGTCACCAACACGAATAATTCCAGAAGAAATACGCCCAGTCAATATTCTCCCAAGATAAAAGTCTTTTTCCATCATGGAAACCTGAAAATAAACTGTCAAGCATCTTTTTCAATTTTCCCTAGTAAATAAAGAAAACCATGAGGTGGGATGGCAGGGAAGAAAGGGCCCGGCAATGCTCTCGTAATAACAAGTCTTCAAGAGCAATCACATAACTACAGAGAACCCACAATCTTTAGTTTCACGGTCAACCCGCCAGTACGGTCATCCTCTATCGTTGTGATAAGAGGGAATGGTTTCATGGGTACTCCATCACTGTGATAAGAGGGGATGGTTTCCATTGCTACAAAAATCTTATTAAACAAAGGCAATTCAATGTTTGATTTGGAGGAGACTTTGTCTAAGTCAGAGGAACCTCCATTATGATTTTCATTACATTAAAGCCAGAGCAAAATAGGAGGTAGTTCAGTCATCTCAACTATACAAGAACATAAATGGAAAATTCTTCAGGTAACCTTTGTTAAGCTAAGAAAAGCAACTACAAGAATAAAAAAAATGAATGTGGGCATGTGCATGTGTTTGTGCATGTACACGTTTATGAGCATAAGCACATGTGTTTTTGTACAATTGCACGTATATATGTAGGTATGTATAGTTAAATCCACTTCTAATACTAACCATCATCTGGAAAGGTGCATCAAGGTTTGTCGTGGGTGGAGAAACATGTCTTATGATTGCATCAAGCAACTCTGACATATTTTTTACATCGTCAGGAGGATTTTTGGTGAAGATGGACGAAGCCCATCCTTCTTTAGCAGAAGCATAAAGAACAGGAAAATCTAGTTGCTCCTCTGAAACAAAAATATAAAAATTACTCAATAGACTAATTACGCCACAAAAAAAGTCAACCAAATGGAAACAAAGCACAGTAGTTTCCAAAAAATATTTTTGCACCTGTGGCACCAAGATTTGCAAAAAGATCAAACACCAGACTCTCAACTTCATTGCACCTTTCCTCAGATACTGCATGAATGGTAAGCAAATATGAGTTATTTATTACTAAAGATATGATTGGACCTGAGAAACATTCAGAATAGAGCTTAAGATGCCCTCACATCAGACATTAGTACCAGTGGTAAAACTTGTAGTAGTAATAGTAGTAGTAGTAGTAGTAACAACACAATATGTAGAAAGGAAGAACACATGGGTAAAGGTTTGCCTTGACAGACACAAAATGAGACCTCATCCACCATTTATTTTGCCTTTGAAATAAGGACATTGAATATCTGATTAGAAAATACATCCAAGTTCAAATCATATTGAAAACGTACAGAACACATAGTGTCAAGCTATACCTGCAGGTCTGTCTACTTTGTTTAAAAGAAGTATAGGCCGTATCCCATATTTCAAGGCTTTAGCTAGTACAAACTTGGTCTGTGCAAGCGGACCTTCACCCGCATCTACAACCAAAATGGCTCCCTCGACCATGCCAACTACCCGCTCAACCTATGCACCAACCATAAAAAATAAAAATAAAAATAAATAAATAAACAAAAAAATAATAATGAGACAAATAAAGGCCAGTTTGGCTGCTCAAAAATATGAATTGGGCTATTTCAAAATTTGCCCATGTACACGATAGGTGTTTTTAATTTGGAATCCTTTATTTTAAAACCTAAAACACTTCAAAAGATATGTATGCTTATTGTTCAAAAAAGATGTTTTTTTTCTTCCATTTTTTTTTTAAAAAAAAAAAATTTTAAAATTTGTGGAACCATTAGGTTTAAATGACCTCACCCACGTAATATTGAACTATATTTATTTCAATAAAATAGCAATAGATAATTCATGGTGTAGATTACTTTAACCTTAAACATTTTTAGAAGATAAATTATGATTTTTTAAGGAAAAAATGAGAAGAAAAGGTTAAAAATATATCAGATCTAGCTGAATCTTAATGGATCCTATTAAAAACTCCCTTACCACCACAATTACAACAAATCATGTATATATATTGATTATTTTCATATGAAACACTATTAGAAGTTGTGTTATGTGATTTTCACCTAAAATTCCAAAGTACAAGAATAACCCTCACACAAAATTACAAAAAATAACTCTTACATGAAAATTACAATAACATATTGGGCCATCAACCTATCCTTTGTGGAACCATATTTCATCAATAGGCTAATTTGTCCGAACAGAATAATTTATTGATTTTATCCAACAAAAACAAGACCAAAGCTATTTTTTAGGTACCATGTTATAAGTTTCCTAAATTGAATATAAATTGCACATAAAGCATTGTCCTAGAAGATCCAAATGTGCTTGGGACACCAAAATGAAATTTTCATTACTACATAAATACTTATTAAAAATACATAGTGCTTTTCATTATCCAATAATGTCATACCAATATTTCTGTTTCATCGCTAGTAAAACATACCTCTTGGCCTCCCCTATGTAAAAGATTGATAATTACCAAAAACGTAGACATGTTGAAAACATTAACCTTTTTCATGAATTTTATGGCAAGTTGATTTTGAGAAGGAGAAAAGCAACTAATTTGTTTTTAAAGGGAGTATTTGGGATGATCTAAATAAGTATATTTTTTTTATTTTTTACGAAAAAACGTGAAATATGGGTTGGGTTTGAAGCATAGTTGTCAAATCGGGATTTGAATCGTGAATCGAAATGGTATTGTACTGAATCATGAATCGTAAAGATTCGATCACCTTTTTTAAATTACATAGAAAAATATATCTACACACTTAGATATTAAATATATCAAATAAATATGAAATATTTAGACTTAAATCAATGAAAATATTGTTTTAAATGATGATCATGTGGTCTAGGTAAGAAATTAACACGGGTTTCCATATTTACCACTTCACATTTTCCCTTTTAGATACTATTTCTTATCAACCATTCTTAATAAAAAATGCAAACAAAAATAAACTTTTAATTTTCAAGTAACAATAACTCAACAACAATATTTTTTAAATTTTTACAAGGTTAAAAAAACCAAAATCTTCAAATTTTTTCTAAAATCTCACTTGATACCTTCAAAAAATTCATTTTGTAAATGTAAGTACTTGGATAGAATAGAAAATGTAAGCCTAGAATATGGTGGAGAGAGAAAGTTCATTTTTTCCCACTAAGGTTTGAGTATTTGAGGAATAAATATGGAGGGAGAAACTCAAAAGATGGCATATAGTAATCCTAAGCCTTAAAAAGGTTGTGTGAACCATTTTCCAACAATAAAACAACAAAAAAGAAAGCCAAACATCGATTTTAGCAATTCACGATTCACCGTTCGGTTCACCGATTCATCTACGATTCATAACTATTTGCGATTCACATAACTTGTTCGTATCGATTACCCACTGCATCAAATCGAATCATACGATTCGAATCGCGAATCGTACAATTCTAATAACAGAGGATTGAAGTGATGTGGTAGAAAGGTAATATGATCCAAATAGAATAATGCGCTATTTTAGCACATGCCAAACGCCCCCTTACTTCCGACTTTTAGTGCTAAAGTCAAACCCAAAATTTATTTGGTCAAAATGATTTTCCAAAAAAGCCAATAACAAGAAAGGCAAGTATTGCAGTAGTTATGGTTATAGCACTAGTACTAGCAGCTCATTGGGAAAGCACACTTGACTGCATTACCGTACAAGATTCTTTTCTGTTTTGCTATTTTCTTGCCACAGATTTCAGAAAATGTAGGGTGTTGCAAAGAAGATAAAAAAGACAAGTATCTTTTGGTAATTTAGAAAGAGATAGTGTAACTTACTTAAGCTTCATAAATTATGCATTTATTATTCCAGTGTCTCATTTTACTATAAGAGCTGTGAAATATAAAGTCATTAAGTAGACATACTTCACCACCAAAATCAGCATGTCCAGGTGTATCAACCATGTTTAGCTCATTTTCCTTCCATGTAATAGATGTAACCTACAAGCAATTAATAGGAAATTAGTTGCAATGTTCTCAATATAAGTGGGAAATAACCAAAACAAATATTAGCCTTGCCGATTACACGAGAGAGTTATACAAACAATATGATTAATATTCATAATAATTACATAAACTTACATTAAAAGATCAATAATTACATTACCACCAAGAAAACAAATTTATATTTTTTTATAGGTAATAATGGAATAACATTTTTTCTTAGTAACGGAGGAAGTGGGGTGGTGTTCAAACCCCAAACAACTTGAGCAGGGTACAACGGAACAAATGTATAGTTAAAGTCAAAGTCTAAAAGGCTACACTAAATAAACAATCAGATAGTTCAAAACGTTGAACATATTAACCTGTAACAATTTCCTTTTGCATGTATTTAAATATATGTATGTAGGTCATTTTCAGGCATTCCATGCTCACTAGATACCTACCCAAAGCCCAAATATTGCTTTTTGTCGACGTTTAAGTGACCCATCAATAAATAGGACAATCGCTTACAATTTATGCACCTGCACACATACAGGGGCAGACACCATCAATTAAGTATGGTGCATAGTTGGAGTAAAAACGCGCGTTTAATTATCAGTTATACATAATTGAATCTCAATCGAGTTTAACTTAATATACATTGTGCTGGAAATTGTGTTCATGTATAGAATATGATAGTGGTGTTGGTGGTAGATAGTGGTATGTATAGAATATGATAGTGGTGTTGGTGGTAGATAGTGGTATGTATAGAATATGATAGTGGTGTTGGTGGTAGATAGTGGTATGTATAGAATATGATAGTGGTGTTGGTGGTAGATAGTGGTATGTATAGAATATGATAGTGGTGTTGGTGGTAGATAGTGGTATGTATAGAATATGATAGTGGTGTTGGTGGTAGATAGTGGTATGTATAGAATATGATAGTGGTGTTGGTGGTAGATAGTGGTATGTATAGAATATGATAGTGGTGTTGGTGGTTAGTTCCTATCCCCCCTACCACCTCACCTACTCCACTAAACCTATCACCTACTTCACCCACTTAAACCTACTCCACTAAGCCTAACCCACTACACCACTACCACCTCCACTTCACCTACTCCTTACCTACTACACACTCACCATCTTCTATATATAGGAATCATGAATCATTGTAATAAATATAACATTAAATATCAATCAATAATACATATAATTTATTCTCTCTCTATCAATTTATTTTACATGGTATCAGAGCAAGATTAACAGCTGTTAAAATATATCATCACCTACCACCTCCACTCAACTCACCTACCACACACACTCACCTACTCCCCAATCCTCTCCTATATAATGAGTACCTCACCATCTGTAATTCATACAATCAATCATACATATCAATAAATCAATAATACATGATTTTTAACATGGTATCAGAGCAGGTTTAGAACCTAATATTTTCGTTTCACCGGCGGGCGGCAACCTCACCTTAAGCCGTCCGCCGGATCTGCCACATTTCTTGCTGCCGTGAACCATGGTGTAACATAAGCTCCCTTGGTCAAACTTTGTTGAGTTTCTCTGGTACACAAGATACTCCACTACTTCCAAGTCAGCCACCACCTCAATCAGTGTATCAGGTAGGAGGTTCACATTTCGGTACAGAATTCAACAGTCAAGTAGGAAGCTCCATGCAACCCGAAAGAGCGCCTGCTTGGATTCCCGGTCTAGCTGATAATGCAATGGGATCACAGCTTCCAGGACCACCACTGTTAGCTCCCGTTGGTCAGATGGGCCAGGGCAGTCAGCAACCTCGCCCCCCACCCTTGACCCCAGAGATGGAAAAGGCTCTACTTCAGCAGGTCATGAGTCTCACGCCAGAACAGATTAATCTCCTCCCACCGGAGCAAAGAAGTCAAGTGCTCCAGCTGCAGCAGATGCTACGCCAGTGAGCTGACCCAAAAAAAAAAAAAACAAAAAAAACAAATTGTTTTCCAAAAACATGTGAGGCATTTACCTCTCTTTCGCTGACACTGCAGCAGGAACAGAAATGCCATCTCCATCTCCTCCTTCAGCTTATCAAAACCCGTCTCTCTCTTCTCTCTCTCTCTCGACCTCACCAATCCATTTTACTTTTCTGGCTTTGGCGGAGATCGGACGGTCGTTGGACAGTCTTCCCAAGGACTTGGCGGCTGCGATTGAGTCCGGTAGAATACCTGGATCCATTGTTCTCAAGAACTTTGAACTCGAGAAATCACCGTTTTTGCGGTTTGGCGGCTTCAAGGAACGGTTGTTGGCTGATGATCTGTTCTTGTTCAAAGTATTCATGGAGTGTGATGTTGGGCTCTTCACCAAGACTGCTGCAGAGTATCAAAAGCGAAAAGAAAAATTTTTTAAGGAGCTGGAATTTGTTTTTGCGGATGTGGTGATGGCCATTATTGCAGATTTCATGCTTCTCTACCTCCCTGCTCCTACTGTCTCTCTCCACTCAAGGACACCCTCATAACATAAAATAAAAACATATCAACACACTGCAGCAGCAGAGGGAAAGGGCCACACACACACAACACCCACGTTATTTCCCACTTTTCTTTTATTTTAATATATATATATATATATTAAAATAATGAATCATAAAAACCAAAACCATGTGCTGGTTCTACCATCCTCTAAAATAATAATTCTCCACACACTCACAATTTGACCCATTCTTTTTATTATTATTATTATTATTATATTTTTTTTTCTTTTTCATCCCACCGTTTCAGCGGACCTTCACCCGCATCTACAACCAAAATGGCTCCCTCGACCATGCCAACTACCCGCTCAACCTATGCACCAACCATAAAAAATAAAAATAAAAATAAATAAATAAACAAAAAAATAATAATGAGACAAATAAAGGCCAGTTTGGCTGCTCAAAAATATGAATTGGGCTATTTCAAAATTTGCCCATGTACACGATAGGTGTTTTTAATTTGGAATCCTTTATTTTAAAACCTAAAACACTTCAAAAGATATGTATGCTTATTGTTCAAAAAAGATGTTTTTTTTCTTCCATTTTTTTTTAAAAAAAAAAAAAATTTAAAATTTGTGGAACCATTAGGTTTAAATGACCTCACCCACGTAATATTGAACTATATTTATTTCAATAAAATAGCAATAGATAATTCATGGTGTAGATTACTTTAACCTTAAACATTTTTAGAAGATAAATTATGATTTTTTAAGGAAAAAATGAGAAGAAAAGGTTAAAAATATATCAGATCTAGCTGAATCTTAATGGATCCTATTAAAAACTCCCTTACCACCACAATTACAACAAATCATGTATATATATTGATTATTTTCATATGAAACACTATTAGAAGTTGTGTTATGTGATTTTCACCTAAAATTCCAAAGTACAAGAATAACCCTCACACAAAATTACAAAAAATAACTCTTACATGAAAATTACAATAACATATTGGGCCATCAACCTATCCTTTGTGGAACCATATTTCATCAATAGGCTAATTTGTCCGAACAGAATAATTTATTGATTTTATCCAACAAAAACAAGACCAAAGCTATTTTTTAGGTACCATGTTATAAGTTTCCTAAATTGAATATAAATTGCACATAAAGCATTGTCCTAGAAGATCCAAATGTGCTTGGGACACCAAAATGAAATTTTCATTACTACATAAATACTTATTAAAAATACATAGTGCTTTTCATTATCCAATAATGTCATACCAATATTTCTGTTTCATCGCTAGTAAAACATACCTCTTGGCCTCCCCTATGTAAAAGATTGATAATTACCAAAAACGTAGACATGTTGAAAACATTAACCTTTTTCATGAATTTTATGGCAAGTTGATTTTGAGAAGGAGAAAAGCAACTAATTTGTTTTTAAAGGGAGTATTTGGGATGATCTAAATAAGTATATTTTTTTTATTTTTTACGAAAAAATGTGAAATATGGGTTGGGTTTGAAGCATAGTTGTCAAATCGGGATTTGAATCGTGAATCGAAATGGTATTGTACTGAATCATGAATCGTAAAGATTCGATCACCTTTTTTAAATTACATAGAAAAATATATCTACACACTTAGATATTAAATATATCAAATAAATATGAAATATTTAGACTTAAATCAATGAAAATATTGTTTTAAATGATGATCATGTGGTCTAGGTAAGAAATTAACACGGGTTTCCATATTTACCACTTCACATTTTCCCTTTTAGATACTATTTCTTATCAACCATTCTTAATAAAAAATGCAAACAAAAATAAACTTTTAATTTTCAAGTAACAATAACTCAACAACAATATTTTTTAAATTTTTACAAGGTTAAAAAAACCAAAATCTTCAAATTTTTTCTAAAATCTCACTTGATACCTTCAAAAAATTCATTTTGTAAATGTAAGTACTTGGATAGAATAGAAAATGTAAGCCTAGAATATGGTGGAGAGAGAAAGTTCATTTTTTCCCACTAAGGTTTGAGTATTTGAGGAATAAATATGAAGGGAGAAACTCAAAAGATGGCATATAGTAATCCTAAGCCTTAAAAAGGTTGTGTGAACCATTTTCCAACAATAAAACAACAAAAAAGAAAGCCAAACATCGATTTTAGCAATTCACGATTCACCGTTCGGTTCACCGATTCATCTACGATTCATAACTATTTGCGATTCACATAACTTGTTCGTATCGATTACCCACTGCATCAAATCGAATCATACGATTCGAATCGCGAATCGTACAATTCTAATAACAGAGGATTGAAGTGATGTGGTAGAAAGGTAATATGATCCAAATAGAATAATGCGCTATTTTAGCACATGCCAAACGCCCCCTTACTTCCGACTTTTAGTGCTAAAGTCAAACCCAAAATTTATTTGGTCAAAATGATTTTCCAAAAAAGCCAATAACAAGAAAGGCAAGTATTGCAGTAGTTATGGTTATAGCACTAGTACTAGCAGCTCATTGGGAAAGCACACTTGACTGCATTACCGTACAAGATTCTTTTCTGTTTTGCTATTTTCTTGCCACAGATTTCAGAAAATGTAGGGTGTTGCAAAGAAGATAAAAAAGACAAGTATCTTTTGGTAATTTAGAAAGAGATAGTGTAACTTACTTAAGCTTCATAAATTATGCATTTATTATTCCAGTGTCTCATTTTACTATAAGAGCTGTGAAATATAAAGTCATTAAGTAGACATACTTCACCACCAAAATCAGCATGTCCAGGTGTATCAACCATGTTTAGCTCATTTTCCTTCCATGTAATAGATGTAACCTACAAGCAATTAATAGGAAATTAGTTGCAATGTTCTCAATATAAGTGGGAAATAACCAAAACAAATATTAGCCTTGCCGATTACACGAGAGAGTTATACAAACAATATGATTAATATTCATAATAATTACATAAACTTACATTAAAAGATCAATAATTACATTACCACCAAGAAAACAAATTTATATTTTTTTATAGGTAATAATGGAATAACATTTTTTCTTAGTAACGGAGGAAGTGGGGTGGTGTTCAAACCCCAAACAACTTGAGCAGGGTACAACGGAACAAATGTATAGTTAAAGTCAAAGTCTAAAAGGCTACACTAAATAAACAATCAGATAGTTCAAAACGTTGAACATATTAACCTGTAACAATTTCCTTTTGCATGTATTTAAATATATGTATGTAGGTCATTTTCAGGCATTCCATGCTCACTAGATACCTACCCAAAGCCCAAATATTGCTTTTTGTCGACGTTTAAGTGACCCATCAATAAATAGGACAATCGCTTACAATTTATGCACCTGCACACATACAGGGGCAGACACCATCAATTAAGTATGGTGCATAGTTGGAGTAAAAACGCGCGTTTAATTATCAGTTATACATAATTGAATCTCAATCGAGTTTAACTTAATATACATTGTGCTGGAAATTGTGTTCATGTATAGAATATGAT